ACTATACATATACTATTTTGGATTTCTTTTAAACAGGAAGTAGTTTTTTCTGATGATACAGTTATCCTATTTCTTCAAAATTTGCTATGTTGCATCTCTCAACTGAACTCCTTCTGACAGTAGAAACTGAATGCTTTAAGCCATCAACTTGATATTTTGCATATAATAATAACTTTATTACAGTAAATGGGATCTGGAATAACTTAATGTGCAAGTCAGAACCCACAAATTACAATAGTTGTTAATAAAATGTAATTATAAGCACTTTAAATTATATATTACAATAATACAGAGATAAAGAAAAGTAATACATATGATAATAATAGTGGAATATTAGTTAATACTCATAAAGCCTTACTAAAGCATATATTTTGACATAGATTTTAAGGACATTCGTAAGTTATGACATAGATTTTAAGGACATTGGTAAGTTGTTCCTGATTTTAGAACCTGTGAATGATTTACTGAACATCCCCATAGTTGTCTTAACTCATGGTACATTAAGATCACTTCTAGGTTTCATTCTGGTGTTATATACATGTGTTAAATAGTATAATCTGTATGTATTTAATAAGTGTGGCATATTTCTGGTAATGAAATAAAAAAAATGGCAAACATTTGGCAGTGAAGTAGGAGAATGTTATAATTTTTGTAATAATTTTTTGTGTACTGAGAATGTATGGCAGAATCATCTTGTGAGAAAAAATTATTTTCATCAGTTACATGGTTTGTCCGCCATCTTGGATTTTTGGCAAAAATTAACATAATTCAGGGCATTTGTTTCTTATGAGTACTTCAATTGATGAACCTGATATTTTGTACATGACATGTATGACCAAACGTCTTACGAGAAAAATAACTAATTTGATCAGTCACCTAATGTCTGTTAGACATTCTGAATTTTCTAATTGTGGTGTGAAACCAACATTCAGTTTCTATGGAAATGGATTTATTGGGTAATGTATATTCCCTAGGAGAGCAAATATGCCTTAGTCACTTGAGTCAATTTGTGCAGTTTACTATATCTCTGGGGTTAATTTAGAAAAAAGACGACTGATTACATTATAATTTTCGAAATCTAAAAAAAGCTTTCTAGAACACAGCAGTTCATTCTACTTGCCCTGATTGAGTAGTCTGATTGTTTGTGAAAAATGTTTCTCAGAACAATCACGCTGATGACAAAAGAAAGCATTTTTCTTATTGTCCTCCTAATGAAGGCCAGAACACTTTGAAATAAATCGTTGCTAACGGTAAATCATGTCATGATACAAAGTATTTATGAGTGTCAAAATAGTGTGACTCTAATCAATACTAAGGTGACACCTAATCATGAATGAAAATACTTATGGATATTGACTTAAAACATTTGACTATTTTATAAGAAAATGATGGTATAGAAGGGTGGCCATTTTTAAGAATTCAATTGCTGTGATGGTAGACTTGCTTTACAAAAGGTTAAGAAAATAGCAACAATGAAAAATAATAGGAATGGTTGTGAAAAAATGTCTTTTATCTGTTGCATGCTGCACCAACTAGGTTTCTAACCAATGAC